TGTTCCTAAATCCTTTGATTACTCCTTAATTTTAAGAAAATATGAGTTCATCTCAATGATTTACTCCATCCAAAGGGTATAAATACAAATTAGAGCCTAATTCTGATGTCAGAATATTTTGAAATTACTCTTTCACCCCTTATATCGTGCAGTTTTGAAAATAATTTAGATTTATAAATTAATTGTATTTTTAAATATTTCATAAAAGTAAACAATATTTTAATAAGTAATGCAATCAAAATTTTTCTAGAATTCTTGACTGTGGTTGGAAGTTGGATTTGAATAAAAGTCAGTTTTATTAATGGGAAAAATGCAACACAAGATAAGGTAGTCTTTACATTTGTATGTATTTTAAGTGTATCTAAGCATTTTAAGTGTCAAGAGAGAATTGTAAAAATGTATGACAATACAGAGCTACTTAGATGAAGAAAAATTAAATTTTAAATCTTAAGCCACAGATTTTTGCAGGTTCTCATAATTTGGGGCAACAACCCTGTTTTTCTGGTGTCATCTTTGTTCCTGTGTCTACCACCTGTAGTACTATTCTGTAAGAGCTGAAAGCAAAAAGAGCGACATCCCTATGAGAAGGAATGTTATTCACTTGTCCCAACCAGCTTTATACAGAAAATATAAAAATGATTAAAAATCTTACATTCATGACTGGATTGCAGATCAAACTTAAATGTTTAGAATGTTTAGATAAGTAATCTAAATAATCTAAAGGCTAAATTATCAGTAGTCACAATTCATTTTTACTTTTAGATTCTTTGTCTTTAATTTAAAAAATGAAACAAAGACAGCTAAAGAAAAAACTGTAGTTATTTCCTAAATGGGTTTAAGAGCTATGCTAACTAAGTAATCATATTTTTTTATTTTAGCATTCATCTCAAAGATTAACTGAACTATTTCCACAGCATACTATTAGAAAATAGGCATGGTACATATGGCTTATTATTAAAAATCACCAACCAGCCTAAGTGTATTTAGAAATTAAAGAAAATATCTTGTCAATCATTCTAATCAAAAGTTGTGGATAATTTACTGTCTTGTACTGTTTTGTTTGATTCTATAGTTCCTTTAATATTCTCTAAGAAGAAAACTAGCATTCATCATCATAAATGTATCAGTATTTTTAAATATTCATGAAAGCTAGTGGCTTGAAAAAATGTAAAATTCTTATAATTTATCTTCCCTTAATATTTGAATAATTTTATTAGCATAAAATAATTTTACTATATCATTGTGATATTTATAATTCACATACAATGCACTTGGATCAAATTCACCCCATCTATCTTATTATTTTTAACTTCTATTCCTCTCCCCCTTTCATTTTTTGGCAGGTTTCATTGTGCTATTTTCATCTTAATATTTGCTCTCTGTCTTCTACAATATTCACTCCCTATCACCTTCTTCCTTCCTTATCCTCCTAGCCTAAGGAAAACCTTTATTGAATTTCACAAGTCATCTCATGTTTTTTCATGCAATGTAATTCAACAGGTATTAAAACTGTGGCTGTGATTATTTCAAAGGCATTTTATTCATTTTATAAAACAAAATAACAAATCAGGTCTCATACACACTCTCTGAAATATGGGCTGATGGTTATAGGCAAATATGGAAAGTAAAAGGTAATTGAGTTCACATTTATCAAGAGTTAAAAATATGTGGATCAACTTTTGTAGTATCCTCTGTGTCCTGGTAGAATGATTTCACCCCAACCATGATTCCATTCCACTTTCAAGAAAAAACCTTCATGCTGTCATAAATTTCCACAGAGCTACAAGACAGACGGAATTCCATAGAGAGGGCAGTGTGTAACTATATAGCATGGCATGGCAGAATCCCAGAAAAGTATCAAAGCAAAATGAGGTTTATTTTTTTCTCTTTACTTTTTTTAGATTCCTGGCATTTTTGAGTAAATTAAGCCTAGATAATACATGAGAATATCTTATTTTTATTTCCAGAATTTTAATTATATAAAGATAACAAGCTTTTATCTAGCTAATCTATGCATAATTTTAAAGATAGGCAAATACAAAAATAGTGCAAAAACACAGCAAGATCTTTTAATTAACATTACTCTGGAATCTGGGGCTATAGCTCAGTATTAGAGCTTCTGTCAAGCCTGCACAAGGTCCTGGGTATAACCCCTTGCACTACAAAACAGTGGCAACAAAACAAAACAAAAAACACTGCAGTGTAAAAAAAATTATGTACAAAGTAGCAAGATACAAAGTCAATTTACAAAAACCAATAGTCTTTCTATACACCAACAATAAGCAGATTGAGAAAGAATATAAGAAAACAATTCCATTTATGATAGCCTAAAAAAAATCAAATATCTAATAAAAAACTTAACAAAGGATGTGAATGACCTCTACAAGAAGAACTACAAACCACTGAAGAAAGAAATCAAAGAAGACTACAGAAGGTAGAAAGATCTCCCATGCTCATGGATTGGCAGAAGCAACATAGTAAAAATGGCTATACTACCAAAAGAAATCTACATGTTCAATGCAATTGCCATCAAAATCCCAATGACATTCATCACAGAGATTGAAAACTCTACCCTAAAGTTCATTTGGAAGCATGAAAGACTGTGAATAGCCAAGACGATACTGAGCAAAAAGAGCAACACTGGAAATATCACAGTACCTGACTTCAAACTATACTACGGAGCCACAACAATAAAAACAAGCATGGTACTTTAACAAAAGTAGATATGAAGATCAATGGAACAGAGTAAAAGACCCGGATATGAATCCACGCAGCTACATCCACCTAATTTTTGACAAATGTGCCAAAAACATTCAATGCAGAAAAGACAGCCTCTTCAACAAATGCTGCTGGGAAAACTGGTTATCTGCCTGCAGAAAACTGAAACTAGATTCGTGTTTGTCACCTTGTACAAATATCAACTCAAAGTGGATTAACGATCTCAATATCAGATATGAAACCTTAAAGCTAGTGTAGGAAAGAGCAGGGAATACACTGGAAACAATAGGTATAGGTAAGGACTTCTTCAGTAGAACTCAAGCAGCTCAGCAACTAACAGAATGGGGCCACATGAAATTAAAAAGCTTTTGCATGACAAAAGAAATGGTCTTTAAATTGTAGAGTCCACCCACAGAATGGGAGAAAAATCTTTGCCAGCTATACATCAGACAAGGGACTGATAATCAGAATATACAGAGAACTAAAAAAACTAGACTCCCAAAAAATCAATGATCCAATAAAGAAATGGGCAACTGAACAAAACAGAACTTTTTCAAAAGTAGTTCAAATGGCTAAAAAAAATACATGAAAATATGCTCACCATATTTCCATAAAGGAAATGCAAGTCAAAACCACACTAAGATTCCACATCACCCTGTTAGAATAGCTACCATCAAGAACAACATCAACAACAAATACTGATGAGGAACCCTTAAAACACTGTTGGTAGGAATGTAACCTAGTGCAACCACTATGGAAAACAGTATGGAGGCTCCTTAAAAAAACTAAAAATAAGAATTTCCACTCCTAGGGATATACCCAAAGGAATTTGACTAAGGTTACTAAAAAGGTACCTGCCCAGACATGTTGATTGCAGCACTATTCACAATAGCCAAGCTATGTAAATAGCCAAGATGCCCCACTACTGATGAATGGACTAAGAAAATATAGCATTTATACACAATGGAATTTTACTCAGTCACAAAGAATGAAATTTTGTCATCCATGGGTAAATGGATGGAACTGGAGAACATCATTTTAAGTGAGGTTAGTCAGGCTCAGAAGGCCAAAATCACATGTTCTCCCTCATATTCAAATTATAGACCTAAAACAAATGTAGCATTATTGGACACAGGTCACACTAATGGTTGACCATTCATGGGAGGGACAGGGTAAGGGAAGGAAACCAAAAATATGAATGTTGTTTATCTGCTCACTATATAGGAACAAATATAGTAATCTTAAACTGGTCAAGGCCATATGGAAAGGGGACTAGGGAGTAGTGAAGAGGACTGGTAGAGATGAACCAATTTGGGTTGGAACTCATATGTGCATGGAAACAACACAAAGAATCTCCCTGTATAGCTCAAACTAGCAAAAACATCATGTTTTTCTTGTTACCGTTTATGTTTTTCTTCTACAAAATTGGGGAACAGGTTCTGCTCAGAGGTGGGGCAGTGGGGGAGGTGGTGGAGAAAGGGGCAGGAGGATGGATATGGTGCAAACAATGCATGCACATGTAAATAAATGCAAAAATGATACTTGTTGATACTGTTCCAGGAGTTGGGGGAGGGAGGACGAAAGAGAGCAATGGAGGGAATGAATTCAAGTATGATATATTTGATACATTGTAAGAACCTTTGCAAATACTCTGATGTACCTCCACCCAGCACAACAATAATAAAAATTTGTTGTAATTAGCATTCTTCTGCTTGTTCACTTGATAATGTCCTAATGTGTCCAATGTCTTACATGATAAGTCATTTTAATACATTGAAAATAAAATGTACTTTTTGGCCAGCCATGTGGCCTTCCTTACCTACTCATGTTCTATGGAGTCATGTTTCATATCATGATAGTTGAAAATTCTCTAATAAATGTATGACCCATGCTATACATGGCTCACATTTCCTAAATGTCCTGACCATTCAGTATCTCTTTCCCCTACTTTATCATACTAAATTGCAATTCTTATATCTTTCTACTTTATTACAATCTTTAACAATCTCTTAAGCTACAGGCAGTATTTTCCTGTTGTTTCTGGAAATTATTTTCTTCAAAAATAACCAATGTAAAAATGATTGGCAGAGTGACTCAAGTGGTTGTATACCTGCCTAGTAATCACAACCCCAGTACTGCCCCTGCAAAAAAGAAATGAAAAATGTATATGATTCATTAATTATAGCCAACTGGATTTAGACAAGAGCAGATAATTTGGGATTTTCTTAAGTATGGATATAAAAGCCATTCAAATTAATGAAATCACATGAGGGAGGCCAAAATTATTTACAAAGGACCATTTATTAAGCTGTTTTTTACAAAATACAAAGATTGTTGCTCTGCATGAGTATGTCACATATAAGAAAACAAGATATTTTATTGAATTTAATTTGAAGACATTCAGAATTTTGTCATATATCCACATGAAGAATCAACTTTGCTTTCACCATATTTAATACCATTGCCAATAAAGAAGAAAACTTTTCCTTGTTAATTAAATCATATCCATAACTGCTAACATTTTATAGAAATAAAATCAGACAATGTCTGGCATACAAAACTTTCTGCAAGGTAACTGATTTACCTATGATCCTAAAGTATTTTTTCAAGCTATAAGATAGGAAGAATTGAGGAGCTAGGTACGTTTTATAATGTGTCAGCTTAGCAGCGGTTGATAGTAAACGCAACATAAGATTTGTCTTGTCTGTGGTACAAGTTTATGTCCTATCAGATTCTACTGCATTTTTCTCTAATTGAACACAAGAAAGCACATAATGATTGTCTCTGTATGAACAAAAATGTATAAAAAGTACAAGAAATTGGTTCTGGTTGTTAAGGTGAGTGCCTATTTTCATCAGCTAATATGAATGAATGCATTGCTAAAATTAGTGAAGACAGAAAAATGACTTAAGGGTAATATATACAAGAGTTAAAAACACTTTTTATTCATTTGGCGATTTAAGGCACTTTGTTCAGGATACAATATTTCATGGTTTATACTTGATAGCAATTTAATTTTCAGTGCAAGCAAAAGCAAATACCTGCCCACTGTCATACACATGACCTTGTACATCTGGAATGTTCAAAGCAAGTTCATCTTTGGCATCTTCACTCTGGAGGCATCTTGAATAAAAATGTCTTATCAAGTTTGCTCTTGATAGCAATTTAATTTTCAGTGCAAGCAAAAGCAAACACACACCTTCTTACTGCCATTTACACAACCAAACATATTTGCAATATTCAAAGCAAGTTCACCTTCTCCGTCTTCAATGTGGAAGCATCTTCAATAAGAGGCACTTAGTGTATACCCTTTATCAATCATGAAAACATACTTGAGATGCCTGAATTCGATATTACACATCACTACCATAATCAGCTCTCTGTGTAAACGATGTTTGGGTAAGGCTTGCCATCACAACATTTCTTTCCTGAGAATGGAGCTGGTCCTTTCTGTATATATCATAAATGTGCATGCTCTGAGCTGTGGTCACTGTCGTGACTATCTTCATTTGCTAGAGAGTCCCCTGTCTGCTGGAGGGTGGCTGCACCAATTCCCGAAAGCTCAGATGGAAGAAGTGTTCCTTTTTTCACATTCACCAGTTCCTTTTCTCGAGCTGCAGCTCCTTGCTGTCCTCCTTTTACCCTTTTCCACTTCATTCGTCTGTTCTGGAACCACACTTTCACCTTGAAGAAGGAAAATGAACAAACAAAACAAAATGGGCAATTAAAATGATATTTTGTTCCCCTTTTGGTAGTCAGTAAAAAATAGTTACTCAAAGGTCTATACAAAGACACCATGAAGGAATTATTATATAAATAATTCAACATTGAATTTAATCAAGTTGCATATCAACAACTTAAAACTTTCAAAAAACGCATACCATACTTGATTTCATATTTTTCAGCGATTTAAAACACGCTCAGGAAGCTGTTTCTGAGACTGACTTATGATTGTATTGTTGCTTCCCAATAAATCCATCTAAATAAGTTTGAAAACTGTAATTTGAACTATGATAGGCCCAGATGTTCCTTGATTTACATGGGATTATGTCTTAATAAAACTCTGGCAAAGTTAAAAAAAAAAATCTCAGATTGACCATTGGACTTACATGCTACAGCTTCCAAAAGCTTTATTTCACCACTCCACCTCACAGTAAGTCTATCTCACAGAAGATAAACCAACTGGGGTTGTAATACATGTTTACATGGAAATAGCATAAGGAAACTCCCTGTGTAGCTACATTTATCTCAAACAAACAAAAATGTATTTTTTTTCTTTTTTCTCCTATGAAATCAGAGAACAGGGGGCAGAACAGGTCCTGAGGGTTGAAGGTGGAGGTTGGTACCACTGTGAGGGGGAGGTAGAGAGAAAAGGGAGTAGGAGGATGAATACAGTGCAAAAAATCTATAGACATGTATGTAAATGAAAAATGATAACTGTTGAAACTATTCCAGGAATAAGGGAGAGGGGATAAAGGAGAGCAGTGGAGGGGTGAATTCAAGTACGGTATATTTGATACATTGTAAGAACTTTTGTAAATGCCATAATGTACCCCCATCCAGCACAATAATAAAAGGGCATTTTTTAAAAAAAAAAGCTATACATTTTTCCCTTCTGCCCCCAGTAATTTTATTTTACTTAGCAAATATGTGAACTAATGATTCCCTAAAAATATGTTCACAATAAAAAATTCTCAGTATTTATCAAATGCTGATGCTGAGTTCTTTACATATAGTTCTTTACATATAGCTCATATTGCTCTGTAGAGATTGTTTTCTTTGTAAAACTTAATTGAGTAGGTCACCAGTGGCTCATGCCTATAATTCTAGTTACTTGAGAGGTGAGATTGGGAGGATCACAGTCAAAGGCCAGGCCTGGCAAATAGTTCCGAGACCCCATCCTCGAAATAACCAGAGCAAAATGGACTGGAGGTAGGGCTCAAGAGATAGAATGTATGTGTGCTTTGCAAACATGGAGCCCTGAGTTCAAACCCCAGTACCTCCCCCCACACAAAAAAACTTAAATGAATTTGACTAATGCATTTTTGCATGTTTGTGTCCAGATAATAGTATAAAAAACATGACTTTAACAAACATCCATTATCAGAATCAGAATAATATTGGCATAATTGTATTTTGTTAAGGAGGAAACCTTTAATTCTCACATTGCATCTCTTACTGCTTATCTCTAGTTAAACTGAATGTTCCTTTTATGTTGTATTTCTCTGTTTATCCCACTCAAACTTTTGTATATCATTCTCATGACCTAGTTAGTTCTTGGAAAAGCTTTGTTAAATAAATACACAATAAATATATACTGTTTAACTTTATTTTAGGCTTATGAAATTGGAAAGTTATTAGTTACAAGAATTGCCGTATCCAGGTTGATGAAAGAGATTGCATGCCCTCATTTATTTACTGTTGTATATTCTTTTACATTGCATGAGTATAACACATTATCCATTCTATTTTCATGGACACTTGGATTTCTTTATTTCCCTCTTTAGTAAATATGCTAGCATATGCATTCTTGCACTTCTGTGCTGATAATCATGGGATAGAACTTCTGTGGGTATGTATCCAGGGGCTGCATCAATGGACCAAATGGTATATAAACACTCATCTTAACACAATAATATAGAAAAATTGTTTCCCAAATTTGCACTGATCTAAATCCCTTATTCATTCTAGTTGCATGTTTTACTTGATTCACATATTTGCTGAGATTTGGAATTACTTATTTTAATTTCCAACGCAATAACTATAAATGTCACCATACCCTAGTTTGCATTTCCTTTGTACGAAAGTAAAGCATTATATTAATGGTCTCTTCACATTTCTCCTTTAGTGAAATATCTTCACATGACTGGTTTGCATTGAGTTACTTAAAAAATGTAATTTTATTTTTTGCAGACTTTTAAAATATGTTCTGAATGTTACCGTAATATTTTCATTTATATGGCTGCTACTATCTCCTCTCTCTGCTGTTTCTTTTTCCTTTTCTTAGAGTATGTTTTGTTGATTAGAAACTTTTTGTATTTTTTAAAATTTATCAATTATTTATTTTATGGCAAGTGTCTTCTTTAAGAAAGTTTCTATCTGCTTTGGCTGCTAAAACATTCTTCATCTTCTTTTAAAAGTGTTAAGGTTTGCATTTCAAATTGAAGTGTTTAATCCATGTAGTACTGGTTTTTATATATAGTGCAAAGGAAAAAAATAAATTTACTGTATTACATATGAGTAACAAACTGTCCCAGGTCCACCTTTGGCTGAGGGCATGGCTCATCATAGAGCCCCTGTTTAGCAAGTAAAAGGCACTGAGTTTAAACCCTAGTATTGTCAATTAAAAAAAGTATCCACTTAAAAAATGAAAAATTTAATTTCAACCTGTAAAAAATAAGAAAACAAAAAATAAAAAATGTAAAAAGGGCTGGTGGGGTACCTCAAGTGGTAAGGGTGCCTGCCTAGCAAGTGTGAGGCCCTGAATTCAAACCCCAGTACTTCCTATATATATGTACATAGGTGTATATATATATGCATATATATGCCTATATATGTGTATATATATGTGTGTGTGTGTGCATCTATCCATCTTTTTCCAGTGATGAATCAAGTTTCCTTATACTGAACTTTATGAGTATATTCTGTTTACATCCCTTTATCATTTTTCTATACCTTTAACAACACTGCAGAATCTTCATTACTATAATTTTATAATGAATCTTAATATCAGATGGAGGAAAGTCTGCTTTAATAGTTTACATTAAAAATATTTTCAATATTCTCCACTTTCATTTTAGAAACAATCTGAATTTCTATAACTACACAGTGCTAAGAAGAAAGTGAAGAAATATATATTTAATTTTTAAGGACATTTTTATCAGTGATCTTCAAACAACAATGCTTCATCACAGTTAGTATTTCCTCAAATACTTGCATAATAAATTATGAGTTAAAATATTTCTCAACTTTAGACTCTCAGTGGTCTCACTTTGAGCCATAATTGAAACCATATATGTTACCCATACATAATTTACTCCATTTGAAAGTAAAAAACAAAAAAGTGAAGCAAAAAGATTAATTAAATATAGTTGATTGGGGTTCACATTATTACTACTTACTAATCAAAAGGCTCTGTGGTTGCTTTTTATTAAGTAGCTATGTGGGGGTAGGGAGCTATACTAAAGGTGCTGCTTATGAATTATTTCTAATAAAATTTTTCTAGATACTGCAAATGTTTCTATTTAATAAATGCAGAAGTTGAAATAAAGGTTAAAGTTACTTGTTTAAGACTGAACAGAAGAAAAACATGGTTCCAGATTCTGGGTTTTTGTTATTGTTGTTCTTATTGTATTTTGAACTCCTATTTTTAAAGTATTCAGGATATTAAAAGTGAGGTATATCAACTATGTAAGTCCCATCCATATGATTTCTGTCATTCAAGTAATTCTCCTCTTTGATATCATTAGGTTTGTAAATATGATACTGTTTTCCTGTATTATAACTGAGGTAATTATCCTACTCAGTTTAATTGCCTTTGCAAGCTTAACTCTACATGTGACATTATATCTGTTCCACCTGAACTAGGTTCTAATCTTGGCTTCACTTCTGAGACTTTGTGAATTTTAGAAACTTACACTATTTTCTGCCTCAATGTTCATATGTGTAATACTATAATATGAACCCTCAATATTCCCCATAGGAATATTTTCTCCATTGACAATTGTAGATGGAAAGAAAACACATAAGTCATCATCATCGTCACTGTCACCAAAAGCTAAAACAGTTCACCAAAATAATTTTCACAGAAAAATGGAAGGCACAGACCTCATAAATCTGCATTTATTTCTTTTTCTAGGAGAAAATGTATAGAAATTCCATAATGCCAGTACAAAATGTGTAATTCTAAATAAGAAAGATATGAACAATATGGTATTGAGTTTTGAAATACTAATGGTGTTTTCTGTATCCACCATGTAGAACTTTACCATTTTAGAAATATGCACACTGATAAAAGACTTTGTAGCTGTCAATACTAGCTATGTATACAAACATACACTTATAGAAATATACATACACAAATATGTACAGATATACACATATATGTGTGGGTGAAAGCATTTGGTAATAATACAGCAATTTTAATAATATACTATTCTCTTTAACTCTTAAATTACATATTTGTTAATGGAACTTTGTAATATTAGTAATGGAACAAAAGAAAATATAAAGCAACAGACACATAATGGACTCATCTAATAGAAATGGTAAAGGATAGTACAAATATCCAAAAGTCATAGCATCAAGAACCATCTTTTAAAAATGCTGTAAAATATTGGGTTAATTGAAATAAGGAGAGAAAGATATTTGAGAAAAACATGTTTCTTTGTTAGCATCACAGTATTAGCAAAAAAACAATCTATAAAGGTAATCCAGGTTATAATTTCCTATGGAATATATTACCTATGGAATAATAAAAGCAAAGTAAATTTGTAAATAAAATGTATCACCGCATTAACCCAGCTTCATTGACTGGAATGAAAATAATAGTTTTTGTTTCTTTTCATTTTTAAGGTACTATCTCAATACCTGACACTTTATTTTTTAAATTAGTATTATAATGATTTTTTAAGTTATACACCTATATTAATGTGTATTTCTAAACTATGCAGAGTGAAAATAAT